ACATTCAAAAGTTGTCAAAAAGTTTTGATAAAATAACAGACAGTATGTACCTCCAAGATGGCAATCTACATGATATTCACAAAAAGTCCAAGGAGGAGATGTGATTTTTAAAGAAGAACATTAAAACCTTGGAATCACAGGTGCAGAATGGGGACCAGAGACTTGATGTATTCATGAAATCACTAGAAATAAATACAGGACAGGAGATTCAGACTTTGCAAAAAACAATAATAAAAAGATTTGAAATGATTGAGGAAATTCTTAGAGCTGATGAACAGGGAAGGAAGGCACAAGGACAGGATGTAACATCACCAGTGGCTGTCAGAACTGGATTACCCAGGGCTTTAGGTTCATATCCCGTACTTTACTCTGACAAATTATCAGGTTCTAAAGGCCAAAGAGGATCAAAAGAAGGTAGATGGATGCCTATAGGAATGAATGATCTAAAAGAAATTAAGCAAGCTGTTACAAATGATGGCTTATATTCTGCATTTGTTATGGAGACAATAATAACTTGGGTTTCTAACTTCAGGGCAACTCCTTATGACATTTTTCAGTTAGTTTCAGCTGTCCTGGATGACAGACCTTCATTGATGATTGGGATTTATTTCAGGGAGGAATCAAAAAATATGGAACAACAGGGAAGAGCAAAAGGTCTTGAGGTTTCCCAAGATCAAAGTCTTGCAAAGGTCCTTATGCTGATCCACAGGTCCAAGCTTTTTATGATGAAGAAATCTTGTCCCTATGCCACAAAGCAACCTTAAATGCTTGGGACAGTGTTCAAAAACTAGGAAAAATAAATGAATCATATGCCAGGTTTAGACAGGGACAGGGAGAACCCTTTACTAACTTTTTACAAAGATTAGTAAGGCAATACAATTAAGAGTAACATACCCAGAAGCTAGACAAATAGTTCTTGAATCTATGGCTTTTGAAAATGCAAACTTAGAATGCAAAAAAAAAATAATTAGGACTTTAAGGTTTAGATCAGCACCTATAGATGAATGGATTCTGTATACAATGAATGTTGAGACATTTGACTATAATCATGAATCTTGGGTAGGAGAAGCAATTCCAAAGTAATGAGGAGACATCAAACTGCCAAATGTTTCAATTGCGGTAAAATAAACATCTGAGAAGGGATAGTAGGCAAGGAATTTCTAGGAACACTGTCTCCTCTGGGAATGGCAAAAATAAGAGATCATGGCCTTCAGGTATATGCAGAAGGTGTGGTAAAGGCTGACATTGGACCAATGAATGAATGCGAACAACAGACAGACAAGGCAACCCAACCATCGGGAAACACCTTAAGTGGCCTTTTGTAGGCCCTAGAGCCAAAAGTGGCCCAGTCATTCCCAGTTACAGTGGTGAACGTGTCTAACCAAGAAAATTTAAAAATCCAATACCTACTGTATAAAACAATACTGGGCTGAATGATAGTTAAATGTGGAGGATGAGTCAAAAAATCCAGTAGAGAGAAGGACTACTACTGCTTTTTAAAGCAAAAGAGACTACGCCCAAGTGGGCTGGTATTTTTAAGGCTGAAGGAGCAGAAAAGCTCCCACAACACCTCCCTCTTTTGTTTAAGTAAGGGAGTTCCAAACTCAACACAAGACTATATACACTAGGAATAGATGTCAAGTATAAGATTAGAATTATGTTCAGCATAAACAATATTAAGCAAGGAAATACGTTAAGCGTTTTAATAAACATTCTATCCTAAGGAGTCTGAGTCTTGTATTGGTAATGGCTTGGCTAGATCATAAGAGGATGGTAAGTAGGACTATCTAATCTTCAACCCCATTGAAAGTCTGAGAAGGGAGATAATATTACTTGATCAGGCAGGGAGTACAATCAAGTAGCTTCCAAAGCAAGCAATATATGACAGAGTCAATAAGCTACCTGAGCAACCACCTAAAGTCTCATTTTGCAATGTTGAAGCAACCAAATTTGGCTATGGCCTAGCATAATTGACAGACCATTTTCAGAGAAAGGAAAATTTTCAAAACCATCTTATCTTGTCTTGGCAAAATTTGACAATTTTGCTTGTCCATTTCTGGATATCATATAACTTGTTAGTAGTTGAGGCATTGTCAGTTTCTTGCCCAAATACCAGTTTTGCCAAGAAGAAAACAAGCTCCAAGGGTCTTTGGTGCTCAACATTCTCTCATGAATATATTGGTGCTGTCAGAAGTAGTCATGTCTCATGTCAACAGCCCCTAAGTTATTTAAATGCCATGTTCCACAGATCCTTGAAGTGATTACAAATTACTTGTCTTGAGAGAATATAATCTCAATGTATCCAAAGAACCTGACTGCATGTACAGCAAGCATGAACATCTATTGACCTACAATAATTAATAATTAATAATTATTAATACCTGTATAACTTAAAGACTAAAACTTCATGTAAGAATATTAAATAGCCTGTAAACAAATGTGCAATAAATGAGGACAATGACCTCAAAATGTTAACAATATATAAGTATCTTGATCAGAGGTAGGATTAATATATAAAGCAATGTGAAAATGCATCCTAAAAGTTGTATCAATATAAAAAATGTCCTAAACAGAGATAATAACATACATATATACAATCTGACATTATGTGTGTGTACATAAATAATGTAAAAAAAGTAACAAATATAATTTGAACTTGTATCAATATACAAAAACTATACCAATACATATTGTCCACGAATAATAGCTCACAAGTATTCACTCTATTACTTGCTATTACTATCCCCCTCATAGTGTTCACCCCAACCCTCTATCTGTATACAAGTAATAATCAACAATCCCTAAACAGTGTTCCTAACCCTATGGACAAACTTTTATGGTATGGGGGTGTCATCTTCTAGAATTGCTTCCCACTGTCATTGTGGTGATGTTGTCATTAATGGGATCCTACAAAATTAAAGTGGTGGTTAAGTTTCAAAATTACTGTCTCGTATAATTGGAGATAATTTCCAAGCAGTCAGTGGGTAGTTTTTTCCCCAAAGTTCTTATTTAAAATTCTGGACAGAATGTCATGAGAAGGTACTCCATGTCAGCATCTGGTACCCCCCCCAAAAAAGAGAAGCAGTCTTTTAATAGCACTATCTGCATCACAATGTCATCTCAACTAGGTAGAGTTGTTGCTGTGTGGTCCCATTTTCTTCCTGGAACCTTCAAAGATTACTGCAGAAAAGGATCTGTAGGAAAATCTATTGTTCATCATGAAAAACTTAAACATCATTCATATAAGCATACATTCAATGAAGAATATGATATAGACAAAAAAGGCACAGAGAAAGTAAAAATTTTTCCTAAAGTCTTTCTTCTGTCCCATACCAGATGGCTCCTGATATGAAACAGAAACTCTGAATGTTCCTTTTAACACCATGCTTAGATTTAGAGAAGTACAGAGCCATTGTACAACTCTAAAAGCAGCTGAATTTGTGTGTGTGTGTGTGTGTGTGTGTGTGTGTGTGTGTGAATGTAAGTGTAACCCATACCTGGATTTATAATCCATATTCTGTTTTCTAGATGCTCCTTAGTGGTTAGTTATTTTTCTTCTGTCAGCATTCAAATATCCAGGGTCTCTTGGATTTTTGATGGTGTGTGTTTCTCTGCAAAGATAAGAGCAGAACCCTGCCCCAACCCTATATGGCTATCCTTAGCACCTGTATGGTTGTCACCATTGTGGATGAGCTGTCATTTTTCTGTTTCAAGAGGTTTTCCTTTCAAAGCAAATCTTTATTAATTTTGATGGTATTCATAATTTTTCTTCTATGGAAACAAGAGCGAAACCCCTTCCCCAATGTACTACATCTCCTGGTTTCCATTATGAGGTCAACACATCCTTGAAATATACTCTTTGATTCAATTCAGAAATTTATTTCCATTATCCAATGCCTCTCTGCTGCTGTTGTTTCTTTTCCATTAGTGTTAAGAAAATTCAAGGTTAATAAAACATTATACAATCTACTTCTGGGGATACTTTTTATCCCTTTTGGTTTGTTCAGCATATTCTTAATTGTACACCTGGATCTTTATATAACAGCCTGACCTGTAGGATTATTTGGTATACATGTATTGTGCTTTATATTATAATAATCAAAAACCGTTTCGTTCTTTTTTAGATAAAATGCCAGACCACTGTCTGTATGTATTTGTGCAGGTATACCCATGATGGTCTTAACTTCTAATAAATTTGTGATTACTGAATCAACCTTTTCTTAGCTCAAGGCAGTTCTAGTGTTCTGCACAGGTGATCTGTTGTTCCCACTCTAAGGGCTACACAGATATCAGGAGTCTGGGCTGTTACCTAGGGCCAAGTCACTGTCCAAGGATTGAGTCTCTGTTGGGACCATGTAGATCTGAGTAGTCCGTGCTGCCACCCAGGGCCATGGTGTCGACTGGGCCTAGATTGCTGCCAGGGGTCATGTCTGGGTCTATTACCCTGCCATGCTGTCATTGTGTTGTTTTCCATGATTCCTTTAACCACCAAAAGCAGTGAGGATAGGTGAGGATAGGGCTAGGGAGTTGACCCTGCCCCTTACTGACTGTACCAGTCTGGAGAGCAGGCCCTGGAGCTCCTCAGGGAAGCACAGTAGAGCTGTCCCTCCTTGTGCAGGTGTGGGTGAGCAGACCCTGAAGACTAAGAGTGAGAGAGCTAGCCCCATGATGTGCTGCATAGTGGTGTGGGCAAGGGAAAGATACCCCTTGACCCTCACTCCTCACTGATCAATATAGAACCCAGCTGTGATTGGACCATGGATTCAGATATAGTCCTTTGCAGCAGCCTGGGCTCAGGTGTCACCATGAACCTGGTAGCCAGTACAGGTCATTTAAAATGCCATGGACCCAATAGCAGCATGGCCTTTGACCCCCCATATGATCCTAGGTATGGGCCCAGATCCTGGGCATCCACATTTAAACCAACACTTGTTTAATCTTTGATTTTAATGTCTTTACTACAAACTGACACTTGTTATATTAATTTTAAAAGGCATAAATGTTTTCATATGACATTTCGCTTTATTTCATACAACACATTTGAACAGTCATTTTGATTCTGAAAACAATCAGTTAAAGTTAAGGTTAAGATTAAATGGATTTTTCGTGTTTACTTGATCCTAAGTTAATTAAAGGTAAAGAAAATGTGAACTATACAAGAATCTCTGAAGGCTACAAGCCATGTTTTATGTTTTCTGTTATACCATTTTTGTGAAAGATACCAATGCTAAAAGCTACTTTTGAAATCAATGTTATGGCCAGCAAATTAAGCATAAGCTAATTATTTCTTTAAAGAATTGAGCTTTATAATTCATAATTAAGTAAGAAGAAGAAATTAATTTTAGTATTACAGTATGGCCTTTGGTTAGTACATTTTTATATGATTAATTCACGTGGTAATTAAAGTTCTACTCCTCATTTATATCCCAGATGAACTTTAAGGGAATGTTTTTCATATTCCTTTCGAATATTCTGTCAAATCTTTCATTCTGATCCACAGTCAAGTGATGCTTCCAGTCTCCAATGGTTCCTAATGGGAGAAGCAGAGAATAGCACCTACGTAAGTAGCAGTATCGGGGCACAGTCCACCCAACTCACTCTACTCCCTTCAGCTCACACTGCACATCACTCTCAGGAGGGCTAGGTTGGCTTTTTCTCCTCTCATCACAGAAACTTCAGAACAGCAACAAAATAAATAGGTATCACTAGCTACTACCATTGAGTTGTAGCCATTGTTAAAAAGAAAAATAAACGCCTTAGAGGTTACAAAAAATATTAGAATTTTAAAAGTACATTTTACTATGTGCCAATCAGTATACTAGGAAAACACTTAGATTTCAAACACAGTATATTTCAAACACAGTCTTTTGAGGTATGTGCTGTTTAGTTTTTCATTTTTAAGCAGGAAAAAAAAATTGAGACCCAGAGGTTTTTAGCAAGTCAAGTCAAGGTGACATAGAGCTTCAGAACAGTTAACATTGTGATTTTCTGAGTAGGAATTGAAAATGATCATTACACTAATTAAAATGAAAATATCCATTTGGTTTTCTTAATAGTCTGAGAGAATGATATTATTATTTGCATTTGGAATGGATGCGAGCTATCATGGGTAAGACATTAAGGCTTGTTGAGGAATAGGATGTGAGAACTGTTGGTAAGTGGCAGAAGAGACAAAATAAAAGATTTCCTGAAAAATATAAAAACCCAACAATATTCAAATATAAGCTAATACTCACAGCAATGATAAGTTAAAAGGGTATCAAGAGGGAAATGTTCATTCTTACCCATATCTCTGGGCATATACTGAGATCATAACAAGTTTATTTCTTGTTTACTTTATTGAATTCATGTCAAATAAAGTTACTAAGACATCGCTCTAATTTTTATGATGAAAAAAATCTCACACATGAGGAAGCAACATTTTCAATTTTGTTTTCAATATAAACAGACAGTAAGTTTACTTGCCCAATATCCTACAAAAATATTAAATAAAATTGTTCTTGTCTAGGCAGTGCGTCACCATGTCTATAATCCTAGCTGTCAGGGAGGGGGTCCAGTAGAGACAGGAGTATTACGAATTTAAGGTAGCCATAGTTTCTTAGACAAAACTGAGAAGCACACATTCTCTTTCTCTCTCTCTCTTTCTCACCCCCTCTCTTTCTCTCAGACACACACACACACACACACACACACACACACACACACACACACCTCCAACAAAACAAAACAAAACAAAAATAAGGCAAGAAATCCCCAACAAAACAATAGCACAAGATGAATTAGAGCCTAGAACAAGACTGCTGACAAACTTTAAAACTTGATTTGTGTGCCTTATAAGGAAAGAAAGCCATATTTATTTACTAAGTGAAATTGCCAACTTTTCAGATTTTTACTAAAACTACTAGAAACCCTTCAGGTTCTTTGTCAATTGCAATGCTTGATGCTTCCAAATGTCATTATCACCTGGAGAAATACTTTAAAAACGCATATTATTTCTTCAAAGTACTCCAGGAACACTCAACAATTTTTTTTTTTTTGCTACTACAGACTAGTAAATTTCACCTTTGCGGAGGAATGTTCCCTCATCGTTTCTTGTCCCAATTTCTTCTCTAATTATATCTTCATAATTTGCTCGCAGGTCAGATTTCATGTTCTGAAACGTAGCTTGTCTTACAACAGCATCTATATCTTCTTCACTCAGTTCTTTCTCCAGAAAACTGCAAATTTTAAGCACTGAGCCCCTGAGGTCCTGAAAAAGTCATGGGTTGAGAAGTAACTGATCTTATAATGGAGGTGTGAGTTACAGCCCAGTGTGTAACATAAACAGCTAGGATTTACTTTTGGAATGTAAAGATTGTTAAACACATGAAAACATCATAGAAACAGGGTAAAAAACTGAAATTATTATTTATTGTCATTGAAACAGAATAAACCATTAATAAAACACGGCTCTTTTGGGACTCTGTAGCCTAAGCTGGCCTGGAATTCAGTGTGTAGTCTATGCTGCTCTCAATGTTAGGATGGTCTTCCTTTCATAACCTCCCATAACGGCTGGGATTAGAGGTAGGAGCTACTACACTGATCTCAATATCTTTGTTAAATAAACAAATCAACAAATGAGCAGAAGAACTCAAGTACATCCTTGTAAAACACCTGTGAATTCAATATTTTTGGCTAGAAACACAGTTGGTTGAGAAGAATGTGGTTATTTTTATCTGATGTCTGCATTCCATCAGATTTTACTACTTCCATTTAACATATTACTGGGAAATAATTGGCAGATAATTTAGTCAAGAAAGAGAAACAGTGTCTAAATTAGAGATGAAGAAGTAAAAAGTTCTCTGTAAGGTGGAAAACAGTATGATCTAATATATAACACAAAAGCTAGGGAAAGCGAAGAATCTGCTACAACAGTGAGATTTTACAAAGCTGTAAGTTATAAAATCAAAATCAGCACACAAATATTAGTTGAATTTATAAATACTAGTGATGAGTAATGGTAAAGTAAGATAAAAATACATGAACTTTAAAACAATAGGATTAAAAAACTTAGGAATAACGTAGAAAAGGTTAGAGACAGGTCCATTGAAACCAACAAAATATTGATGAAAGAAGAAGAAAACAGAAACAAACATGTAGCCTACACTGATGAATTTAAAGACAGTTATTATTTATTTATTTGTTTTTCTGAGACAGGATTTCACTGAAGTTTTGGAGCTTGTCCTGAATCTTAATCTGTAGACCAGGCTGGCCATGAACTCACAGAGATATGCTTGCCACTTCTTCCTGAGTACTGGGAATAAAGTGTGTGCCACCACCGCCAAGCTGAGGAGAGTTATTTTAAAGATGCTATAGAAACCAATCCACAAATTCTATGCAGTCTGCAATAAAATTGCAGTGTTTTTTTTTTGTTTTTGCAAAAAGAAAAAAGAAAAGAAAGGAAGAAAAGAAAATCTATTCAAAATTTGTATGAAATTTAGACACCTCATAGGAGCTAGTTCTCTTCATCCAGCATGTGTGCCTCAATGATGGCAGTTAGCTCATCAGGACTGGCAGCAAACCCCTTTACTGAACTATCTATACCCACAAAGAAGTATGTTAATGTCATGGTGATTATAACAGTGTGGTTATGACTTGAATATAGAAATCAACCAATAGGAGATAATAGAATTTTCAGGAAGTACTCTCTCACTTATAATGGTTAAATGATTTTTGATATGGCTGTTAAGAACATTAAATGGGAAAAGTCATTCATTTCAACAAATGATCTTGGGTAAATCAGATGTCCGTATACAAAAGAACAAAGCTGAATTCTCACCTTAAAATGTATTTCAAACATATGAAAATTGGCCAAATATAAAAGCAAGGGCCTAAACTACAATGCTGTTAGAGAGACTTAAAGGGAATGATTTACCACACAGGATTTCACAGTCATACTTTGAATCTCCCTCTACAAGTACAGAGACACAATGGGATGATTTACATCATAGGATTTCACAGTGGTGTCTGGGATATGTCTCTACAAGTAGAGACAGCCAAAAATAAAAAAAACATTAAATTGATTATACTAAACTTAGTAACTCCTAGGTAAAAAAGGACAGATTCAATGAAATGAAAAGTTTGCCTATAGAATGGGAACAATATATTTGTCATTTATATGATACAGGATCACCCTCAGAAATCAACAACAACAAAACCAACCTAACTAAAACTTTCAATAAATGATTCTCAAAGGGAGTCTAGAACCATCCATTAAACACAGGAGAAAAATGCTCTCTATCACGAGTCATTTGGGAAGTGGAAACCGACAAGAAGTGCACACCACTTGTGTCCTATTATGATGACTATTCCTTAACAAATGACAGAAAATCATAAGTCCTGGTGCTGTTGGGAGAAATATAAAGTTGTTCATTTGCAAAGGGTAACTTATAACGCTTGGTTCATAAAACAAAAGCAGAATCACTGTGTGATCCAGCAACTCTACTCTGCCTTTTACTTCTTATTCCAAACAATTGAAACCAAAATCCCTGAAGTATTTGTACATCCATATTCACAGCATCAGTATGCATAACAGTTAAAATGTAGAATCAAGCCAAACTTAAATAGATTATAGAATATAAATGCAATGGGATATGCAGACAGAGAGAGGGAATTCTGATACATGATGCAATAAGCCTTGATGACATAGAGGACATCACAGTAAGTAAAGTAAGTCAATAAAAATACAGCTGCATATCTCCACTCATGCCAAGTACTAGGCATGAAGAAATTAATACAGGAAGAACATAGTGTGGTGATTTTCAGGAATGAGAGGAGAAAAAAAAGAAGTTAGGGTTTAATAATCCTAAGGTTCAGCTTGCCAAAAAGAATTTGGATAGTGGAAGTGACAAATGGCTACATAACAAGTCATAATGGTGAAATGGCACATTTCAGGTAATGGATTTTAAAATCATAACTAAGAGTGCAATTGGGGCTAATAACCTGAGTAGGAGTATAGTAGTTGTTCATGACAGTTTATTTTACCCAGAGAAGTTGCGACATTCTTCATGATGAAGAAGCACTACCCCTAATTCAAGAATAAAAGTAATAAATAAAACGACACATGAATTACCTTTGTAGATGTAAAAATAAATATTGATTATGAGAAACATGAAATCCCTTTCATATTTAATGAAAGCTGAGCTTTCGAGGAGTCTATATATTAAATAAATAAAACAGAGATGGGTTTGCTTCTGAGCATCAGATGGTTTAGTGCCCTGCTAAGATAACTAGAGTATGTTAGCCTCCATCTTTGTATGTGGTCATTTGTGCAAGGAACTTAGTGTGTTTTGATAAATAAAATAATAGGATCCTAATGCTTAGTGATTTACACTAATGGCTTTGATGCACGACTGACTACAAAACCAAGAGGAGAAATAACATGAAAAACAGAGCGATGCAGCTGAAAGAAAGAGAAAAAAGATAATGGAATTTTGGATGTTGCCAATAATGGAGTTATTGGAAATAATTTTAACATAATATTATATTCAAGGAGGTAAAAGACAAAAATTGAAACTGCCTCAACCCAATACTACCAATGAGAACAAATTAAAAACAGACTATCTTTAATTAATAAAAAGTAAATCTCAGTGAGTAATTTTCGTAGAAACTTCAACTCAGATGAACTCAGCATAGCAAAACTTGGAACTAGGGGTAGGAGCAAATTTAAAACTCAGAAAAGTACAGAATAAAAAGAAAAATATGTTGGCCCCTGTATGAAGAACTTTGCCTGTCTTAGGTAAGGTGCCACACACCTTCAATTCCAAGATTCAAGAGGCAGAAACAGGTGGATCTCTGTAAGTTCAAGGCTAGACTGGTCTAAATAAAAAGTTCTAGACAAACTAGAAATATATACATATTGAGATGCTATCATAATAAAAAATAAAGTTAACAAAATAGAGAGTTTTGTATGTGATACAGTTCATTAGACTCCTGTGACTCTCACGTTCTTTGTGCAGGAAAGTTTTTGAGCAAAAGACAAATTTCCTAAATCCCCCAATTTTCTCTATTCATAATTCTGAGACACATTTTATGAAAGAGCAAACTGCTTTTTATATAAATGTAGGAACACCTCTTTGATTTCCCCCATATTCAGTCTTCAGTGATTATTACACTGAGGCACATAATACAGATGCAATTCTTCACTGCTGACTTCATCCATTTGGAACATACAAAGGAAAAATAAAAACACATGGGAAGGAAAAATTAAGTTCCTCACATCCCAGAAGGATTTTCCATTAAGTAGATTCTGATGTCTTTTTAGGTAAATTAAGATATCTAGATTCTCTTGCTTGTTCGTGTTTACATTTTAAAGGAAAACACACCTGGAAAAGACAAGCACTCAGTTCAAGAAGTTATTTGGACATGAATCATAATTCTGCCATGTATTTAGGGAACTGAAATATGTAGGTTATTTCAGAACTTCTCCAAATGTGTCTCTTCCTAGTAGTAAGTCTCATCTTTCCTCCAAACAATGATTTTCCTCATTGATAAGGATGACTTTTTGCTATACCCATAATTCTGTCCCATAAAATGTAATATTTTAACGCAGTCTGCACTCTATCCATTGCTCTGTTCTTGAGAAAGGAAAACAGAAATGTTTCTGTATAGTCATGAAGTTCCTAGGAATAGCACTTCTAATTCAGTGAATAACCAAACTCATCAGAAATGAACTGGTTTATTGTCTTAGTGGGAAAATCAGTGGCGAAGCAAGCATTAAGTTTTAGACAAAAATTACAAAGCTATTTCACAGCAATGGACAAGGAAGACACCAAATTATCTTAACATTGGTGAAAATACAATTACTATATAATATTGGTAGTTTTCTCTCTGTTTAAAAATATTAATTTCAATTATAATTATGGGTATGATGTGTGAGAATAGTCAGTGGGTAAATTCTCGTCTTTAACTGGTCTACTAACATTTACCATTTTCAGTTTTAAACTCATGATAGGGAATGATATTCCAAAGATACTAATTTTGATCCATTGCTGTGGGATTTTTTTTATAACTCTTAAAGTCTCCTCACTACTTTAGGATTACGGAAATAATCATGATCATGACCCACAGATCTTGTGCAGTCCTGACTTCGGTCTCACATACTAGTTTCTTGTCCCCCGTCCCACACCTTTTATGTTCAAGTCTTTTCCTTACTTGGTTCTAAGTACTGTATTGCTTCACATAAACTTCTATCTTGTACTTTGCTTTTTAGCCATTTTCATTTTGTTAATTTGCATATATTAACTTGTGAATTCCATGTTACTTTTACCTCCAGAGAAGCAATTATCTTCAATTATACCAGAAACCTTTATATGAATACTGACATTTTATTTGGCACTTCTTTAATAACTACACTTACTAGTCTAAAATCTCTACAAGTTTAAAAGTTGTAGTTTGTAGGTGTGTGTGTGTGTGTGTGTGTGTGTGCGTGTGTGTGTGTGTGCATGCATGTGCTTATGCAATGTGTTTGCTGCAAGATGGAAGCTAGTGCTATGGTTCATGGGTGGAGGTCAGTAGACAAATTTATGGAGTTTTTTATGGCCTTCCATCTTTATGAAGTTTGTGAGGGTTTAATTTGTTTTGTCAGGCACACACTGGAAATCCCTTTACTCACTTTGCCCTGTCACCAGTCAAGATAAGCTTATGGATTTTTTACTTTGAGTGTTTGCTTTTTGACTATTTGCCTTTAAGTCCTTGTTTACTTTTCTTTTGCAGTCTGTCACAGAGAAGCCATTAACTTATTTTCCATCAATCAATATGTAAATAAGTACCAGAATGTGGTGAACTTTAACTCTTTTTTATTTACATAGTATATTAAGATACTATTTAATTTTGATCAATCAAAAATTATTCTATAGATTCATCTTAAATATCCACCAAGATTATTTTTTAAAAGAGGGAGAACTTGTTCCATCAATCAAATTATAGTCTATGGCTCTAATTGTTCACATTTTATAGTAGCTACATGCCTCTCTGCTGTTTTCTGGCCTTTAGTAGTGAGCTGTAGCCTCCCTGAGTATATAGTCAAAGGAAATGAAGTCAGCATTTTAAACCTTACTGTAATCTGGTGTTCTTGCATCCATCTTCAACCAAAATACATGTGCTCGGCCTAGTGTCCACCAACAGATGAAAGAGTAAAGAATTTATGATATATGTCATATACCATATATAAAATAAATTATCATTCAGAAGTAAAAATTAAATGAAATTTTGTGATCTGCAGTAAAATGTATGAAGTTAAGAACATCAGGTAAAGTTAATAAGCCAGACAATGAGACAAATTCCTTGTGTTCTCTTATATGTTGAAACTAAAATGTCAACCTTAAAGTAGAATTGTGTTTAGCAGTAATTGGGGAGGGTCTAAGGGGTGAGAAAGGAATGACAATGCCAGAAGCATGGCAAGATAAGATCAATGCACACACTATTCATTTGTAAGAATATAACATCAAATACCACTAATGGATGTAATTAATATGTGATATAAAAGTTTTTAATTATGAAAGCCGTTGATGCTGTGAAGCTTTGGGATTGCCTTTGAAACAGGTTGTTACATGAGAAGGGAATCATTAAGATGAGTTTACATAGAGAAGAGAGTACAGAGAATATCCAGTGAATAGGCAGAGGGTGGACATTAGGGATCATCTCAAACAAAAAGCCCAAAGAAGAATTAATGTATGAAGATAACTGGGAGAATGTATTTTCAACCAAGAGAATAACTGTGTAAAAGAAATAATTTACAAATACAACTACCTCATCTTACCTTCTTCATGTCTTCATAGCTCAGGAACATAATATTGAAGTCATGTCTGTGTTCATACCAGCCTCTTATGTGGTCAAACCAATTGCTTCCTACCACTGGGAAGAAAAGTAACAAGTGAGAATGCCAAGCTGTGTGTCCATGTAGTGGACAACAAACTCTGTGCCTCCTTTTCTGGTTTTGAATTTTTAGAAATAAAATGGAGGGCCTGCAATGAACATCCATATCCCTATTTAAAATGTTTAGTGGTTTGGGGGAACAATTACCTGACAATCATAGAAACTTGCCTCTGTAATGTTATTACAGGAGTAGGAAAGAAGCAATGGAGAAATAAATGGACTGAGGATGCAGTCGGCTTTAAGGCACACTGTTTTGTGTTCCTACTTCTCCACAAAGGGCATAAGTCTCTGTTTCTCCTCTTGTTCACTGTCTGCAGTGGTACAGAATCCTAATATCATCTTACAAGCAAGTGAAATTTTCATTCCAAATGTGATGTGCTGTGAAATAATGCTCTTGTACCCTGTAAAGATTTGTCACTTGTATTGGTTTAATCAAATGCTGATTGACCAGTATCCAAGCAGGAAGTATAGGTGGGGTGACCAGACAAAGAGAATTCTGGGAAGAGGAAAGACAGAGACAATCATCTTCCAGAGGAAGCAAGATGAAAATGCTACACTCAGAAAAAGTACCAAGTCAAGTAGTTAAATATATAGAAGAATTGTGGGTTAACTTAAGTTGTAAGTTAATAATAAACCTGAGCTAATAGGCCAAAAAATTATATATAATTGACATAAGCCTCTGTGATTCTTTGGGACTGAATGACTGCGGGTCCATGAGGGACATAAACTTCTATCTACAGTAATAAGCCTCTGGCCTTAATTAATCCACCTATGTAGTAGAATGAACAATTTCACAGCTGCAGTATAAAGCTATACACAGGCTCAGCCAAAACATACAACAACTCTCAACATTTCCTCTGCCAGAATAGATTATTTTACCTTTGCCACTAATTGGAAAGAATTGATAGAAGATCTTCAAACCAAAATAGTTCCTACATGACATGCCTTCCTAATCCTGACAATCCTCAAATGATGCATAAAGTTAGAAAATCCAGTTAATAGTGCATAGAGTTGACATGCGATTGTCCCTAGAGATAAATTGTTTGTGTTTTTTTGTCTGTTATTGTTTTTCTTGTTCCAGTATTTTTTTCTTGTTCCTTTCAAAAAAAAGTCCTGTTCCATTTCTTTAAATCATGTTCTATAAGTCTGAGAATTTGGTTTACTGACACCTTTTGTGTAATTCATTTGTGTATGGGTCAATGAATTAATACTTACCTCTTCCATCTAGGAATTCTTGCATAAACATTTCCACAGTATCTGAGGCTTCAAGTATAATCATCAAATTTGAAAAATGAAAGTAGGAGATCATAACATCTTTAGGATTTCTGTAGATATAAAGAATCTGTAGGAAGAATTATGTAATTATTTCTTTAATAAAATCTTGGATATGCTTATGTTTTTAAATACAATTTTATACTATTCAATTATAATAAGCATAATTATTTCTTCTAGTCTTTGAGCTGTAAAAAGTGAAATAGTTATTATTCATATTTTGGTATTACAAAGAGCACTGTAATAAACAAACTTTCTCTATGGCATTTAATGTTTAATAATGTAGTTCAAAAGTAGGTCAAGACCATGATGAATATACGCACTGAAACAGTCTGCCTGAGTTAATGGGAACTCACCAACTCCAACCAGACATGGAAGGACCAAACATAGGCCCAAACTAGACCTGCTGAATGTGGGGCAGTGTGTGGGACCACTGGCAGTGGCATCAGGATATATCCTTACTGCTTGTACTGACTTTTAGGGAAACTATTCTCTTTGGATAGATACCTTGCTCAGTCTAGATATAGTAGGGAGGGCCTTGGACCTTCCCCAAAGCAATGTGCCTAGCCCTCTCTAAAGAGTAGATTGGGGTGGTAAAAGTATAGGGGGGTATGTGGAGGGAAAGGTAGGAGAAGAGGAAGAGAAAACTTGGATTGGTATGTATAATGAAAAAAGATAGCTTGTTTTCTTTTTTTAAAAAAGTAAAAATTAAACTAAATTAAAAAAGAATGTAGTTCAGTTCTCAAAAAGCATATTATTTGTAATGTTCATAAATACTGAACATTAATTTGCCTTATATAATCAAAATATATTATATAAAATTTTTAATTAAAAATTGAAAAGTAAAATTAATTACCCATTAGGGTTCATTGATAGATATTATGTGATAGCAGAGAAGATAAATCTGAAAACAAAAACTAATAATCATATTGATATATCTAGTAATCTATGATCTTCAAATAAAAATGAGCTTTTCCTTCATATCTTTCAGAAAAATAACAAAAATATGAATTAAGAGCATAAACATGTTAAAAACTCACACATAGAAACAATAATCTGTGGGTTTCTGTCCACAACATTAGCACCTGCGTATCTGGACAGAAGGAGGAGCTCATGCCAGCTTTGGCTGCAAGAAATACTCTCATAAGGGAAATAAAGTAAGGCAGTGAGGAAAATAATAAGAAAGAAAAGCCAAAACCCAGAGAACATTTCTCTAGGCTTAAACTAAGGAAAAATTTCTCAAATGTTAATTTATTTAAAAGAAAAATCAGATGGGTCCCTTCGACTCCACCTGCACCAGGAAGAACAGGTGAGTATCTGATATCTTGTCTGGAAAGCCCTGCTCTCTAGGTCCTAAACCCGCACTTCCGGTATCCACAGAACCCCCAGCAATCAGGCAGCAGCTCTCTCTCCCATCTACCATCCCCTGCTGTAGGACTCACTGGCCCCACCTACACATGGAGGGACAGCAACTCCTGGAGCCACAGGCCCAAAATGCACCCAGAGGAAGAGGACAGAATTGCACCTGGAGGAAGAGCAACCACCAGAGCTACAGAACCCATTTGTACCAATTGGAGAAAAAAAATGGGTAGATAACAGTGTAACAATACATGAATACATACGACAACATAAAGAACAACATGGCATCACCAGAAATGGGTGGTTCTACAACAACAAAGTCTGAGCATCCCAACACACAGATGAAGCAGAATAAAATGACATTAAATATAACTTTATGAAAATGATGGAGGCCCTTAAAGAGGAAATGAAATGTTCCCTTTAGAAAATGGAAGAAAAAGAAAAAAAAAAACAGTGGAAGAAATCAATAAATCCTTTAAAGACAGTCAAGAGTACCATGAAAAAAAAAACATTCGAACAATGAAGGAAGCAGTTCAAATAGAGGCAATAAATAAAATACAAATTGAGGTCCCCATCGAGCACTGGGACCTAAGGGGAAGGTTGAATGGTGGAGGGGAGAGGCAAAGAGGAGAACAGAGAAAAATGTAGAGCTCAATAAAAATCAATAAAAAACCACAAACTGAGGAAATTCTGCATGTGGAAAAACAGGGTAAATGAACAGGAACTGTAGATGCAAGCATAACCAATAGAATGGAAGACATGGAAGAAAGAATCTCAGGCATTGAAGATACAATAGAGGAAATTGATTCTTCAGTCAAAGACAATGTTAAAACCATCAGATTCTTAGTGAGAAACGTCCAGGAAATCTGGGACACTATGAAACAACCAAACCTAACAATAATAGGAATAGAAGAAGGAGAAGAATACCAGCTCAAAGGCATAGAAAATATTCAAAAAATCATAAAAACTTTTCCAGCCTAAAGAAGGAAATGCCTATGAAAGTACAAAAGCATACAGAGTACCAAATATATTAGACCCTCAAAAATATATTCTTAAAATATATTAATCAAAACACTAAACATACAGAATAAAAAAAGTATACCAAGATTTTCAAGGGAATATAGGTCAAGTAACATAAAACAATATACCTTAAAGAATTACACCAAACTTCTCAACAGAAATTCTGAAAGCAAGGAGGTCCTTGGCAGTTGTTATGCAGAGAATAAGAGATCATGGATTCCAGCCACACTACTATACCAAGCAAACCTCTCAGTCATCACAGATAGAGAAAAAAAAGATATTCCATGACAAAACCAGATTTAAACAATACCTAGCCACATGTTCAGCCCTACAGAAAATACTAGAAGAAAAACTTCAACCAAAGAAATCTAACTGTACCCACAAAAAACACAGGTGACAGGTAACCTCATATCAGCAAGGCCCAAAGAAAGGAAGCACACAAAAACTCCTACCACCACCAAAACCAAATAGGATAGCAATTAACAATCACTGGTCATTAATATCTATGGTCTCAATTCACTTATGAAAAGAGACAGGCTATCAGAATGAATACAAAAACAGGACCCACCAATCTTCTTTATAAAAGAAACACACCTCAACCTCAAAGACAGTGATTCCCTCAAAGTAAGGGTTAGGAAGAAATATCCCAAGCAAATTGACCAAAGAAACAAGTGGGTGTAACTATCCTAATATCTAACAAAATAGATATTATACAAAAATTATTCAAAAGAGATGGAGAAGGACACTTAGCTCATGTCAGGCTAGTGGGAGTTCAGGGATTATGGACTGACAGGTAGGGAACCTGCATGGGACTGAACTAGAACCTCTACATGTGGGTGACAGTTATGTGGCTTGATCTGTTGAAGGGGTCCCTGGCAGTCGCACCAGGACCTATCCCAGGTGCATGAATCAGCTTTTAGGAGTCCATTCCTTATAATGGGATACCTTACTCAGCCTTGATATCAGGGATAGTGGCTTGTTCCTGCCTCTAGTTAGTATTCCAGACCTTGTTGATTTCTGAAGGAAGACCTTACTCCCTCTGAGAAGTGGATGGGGAATGAGAATGGGATAGGTGAAGGGCAGGGAAAGAGGATAGAGGGGGTACTGCGGCTGGTATATAAGGATGAAAAGTAATTTTTAAATAAAAATATAAAAAATAACAAAAAATAAATCAGTTTGATAACACTAAAATTAAGAATGTTGCTGATAAAAACATACATGAGAAAAGCAATGAGGATGTGCTAAAATAGATTCATTTCTAGAAGTGATAGAAACAAACTGACCAGAAGAATGTAATAAAATATTGGGCTATTGATAGACTCTTTTCAAACAATAAAAAATAATGATGGCCATTAAACATCCAACATGGAAACTCCCATTATGAGGATGAGGATGCAAATTAACATACAATTGAGACACCTTTTCCCAGCTGTCGTGTTGATAAACATCTAAAAGTCTGATATGTCAAGTTACTAGGGAAACATTAATAAATCATTTATTACACATTTCTGCAAAAAGTAACAAATCCACTTTCTTCAGAAATACTGCACCACCTTTGTAAGTGGAGTACTCTGGTCACTGTGGCTGTGCAGTTCTACTCATGGGTATGGTTTCTATGAAAGCTGGTGGGAGAGTACCAGGAGACACACTCAAAAATGTTCATAGCAGCTGCACCACAGTGGCAAAACATTGGAATAGACTAAATATTCAATACTTAGAGAAGGTGTTTCATGGGTACAGAAAGTCAATAAGCTCTATGACATACTTTGACTTTTTTGTTCTTTAAAACTTTTGGCACTAAATAATACAGGAGGTGGGAAGAAAAGATACGAGGTGATGGCATTTTGGTAAAGTCCACATTACGTATATTGTACTCAAAGAATGGTGCTCTGTCCATTGTTTGGAGGTTTTCAGTGTTGTTCCTATGTCCCTCAAAATAAATCAGACTGAGGATCTGTTGTGTCCAGATGGTACCTGTAAGAACAAATAACAATTCTGTCTTCAATGCTGAAGTAGGTTTTAATAATGAATACCAACAGTAATGTCATCCATGCTACAAATAATTTGGAGCTCTCTTTCCCTTTAGCACCCCAGTCATGCTTGGACGTGCCAGCTTTTCATTCACCATTGTCTGTTTTGAACAAATGGTGTGGGAGAATTGTCTGTATTCTGTCAATCGTGTTTTAAATAAACGCTGATTAGCCAAGCAGAAAGTAAAGGCAGGACGATGAGAACAGGAGTATTCTGGGAAGCAGGAAGCTCCCTTGGCATTCCTGCCCAGATCACAGAGAAGCAAGATGTAACCTGCTCGCTGGAAAAGGTACTGAGCCATGTGGCTAACATAGATGAGAATAATGGGTTAGTATAGGCTACAAGAGCTAAAAAGAAGATTGAGCTAATGGGCCAATCGGTTTTATAACTTTTGGAGTTTTCTCTGTGATTTTCTTTGGGGCTAGACGGTTATGGGGTACCAGGCGGGACAGATACCCCAACAAGAAAGCCAGCCCTCCATGTTACAAACAATCAAGTCGGTGAGGCTTAATTCTATAACTCTGTTCCTTTCTCACATACAAAGATGTTCTGATTTGTAATGAAAATTCAGATGATTCTTGTAATGTCTGTGTGTTCTATGCTTCATGTAGAGGCATTTCATTAATATTTAGCTGCTATTGACATATAACATTTGCAGATATTAACAGGTAAAGTATGGTATTGCTACATGTGGACACATATAGTGTGGTCAGATCACACCAGGGATAGCGGCACTTCTGTCTTGCTGACAATTTTTTCCTGTTTGGAGCCTTCTAGCTTATTTCTTAATTTTCACTTGATATATAACAGGTTGCAAAATGCCACTTTATTTCTGTTTACAGGCAATTCTGATTCATTTCTGAAATTACTTCATTATTTGCTTATCTTTTAGCACTGTGAAAAAAACTAATATAATTTAAATTTCCAGTTTCTACTCCTGATCTTGCTTTGTACTCTCAAATACTCCTTGACATATTCCCAGTAATTGGTCACAGAACACATGTAGAAAGAGAAAACCAAAGATTTCAGTGTTATTGCCATTTGGTCTCTGTACTATTAGATCAAGTTGTACAGTGGAAGTATTTGGGAAACACATGCAAAATTCCAATTCTTTTCCCTTTACGAATGGATCCCACGTGATTGTGCTTAGGGTTAGCCTGAATTATTAATGACTATCCCAGACAATTCATTGTTGGTAGTGTACATTTGATTAACCCTTAATTATTAATGGCTATTCCAGATAATTCACTGGTAGAGGTATATATTAGATCAACCTGTCACTATTCCCAGCGAGGATTGATCGTGCACCATATGAAGCAGAGCCTAAAATTTTAAAAAAGCTGATCATGCCAAGACATCCCAGATGCTAGGGCTTCTGACAGTGAATGTGTTGGTACCCTGTGTGGGACAATATAAACACTCATCACCTATTTCAGTCTTCCTGAGGACTCCTAGAAGCATCCAGTGGATCTTCAGTGACTGAATTATTTAGCTGTTATCTACAGTAAACCAGCCTCACAGTGTCCTTCAAGTTCTGTACCATATTAGAAAGATGGAAAGCAAAGTAGTATTTGATATGAACAAAGAAATATTTTTGAAAAGCATTTTTATTGACTGCAATGATAAAATATGGATGTAAAATCTTGGTATTATTGTGCATGGACAGTGAGGTGGGGTGTGGATGTGAAATCTTAACACCTATAGCTTTACTATATAGTCTGTGTTGACCACTGGAAAAACTAACACCAAAACTTGTTAGTTTCACTTTGTGCTGAGGTAGAAGTACCTTTACTAAAGGAACTACAGTTCATCTTCATGTCCAACAGAAAACAGGAGTCAAATGGGAGTGCTTGTGCTTGCTTGTCCTGATTAGCTTCCCAAACCTCAAGGCTTCCGGGATTCCAGGAAGCTCACTGTTTTAAGACTTTTTTCCTATTTTTGAGAATTTTAAGTACATTACAGCTGTCTTGGAAATCTTGTCAACAGAATTGCATGCGTTGGAAATTTAGTCATTGTCTGAGATAAAGTCTCTACATATTAAAGCATGTATCTTTTATGGTAAAGGTTTTCGTTATCTCTGACCTGTTCAACAGGCTAAGGTATCTTGTCATCATTTACCAATAAGCTGCTGTTAGCTTCTTAGTTGATTCTCACCCACAGCATTTTTCACAATAAATTACAATATATGCATGACAAGTGTTCAAGATGTCCATAGACATCTGATTTATTTATGTTTTGACCATACCTTGTACTTAATTATAGGTTGCTGTGATTCAAATACTGTTGTCTGATGGGATTTAAGATATTCCTGGACATATATGAGGGATTATCTAGATTAGGTTCATCAAGTTGGACTGCAGATGTAAATTGACAAGGTACCTTCAGCTGCCATTGGTTTTCTCCAACATGATGGTGTATTCTGGTGTGGCAGTGAGAAAAAAAAAACTAATATTGTTCAAATGACAGTGTGTGGAAAGAAGAATATTTATGCACTTATTATCAAACCAATATACAGGGTGGTGATGGAGTACACCTTTAATCCCAGCACTTTTGAGGCAGAGGCAGAGGCAAATAGGATCTCTGTGAGTTCAAGGCCAGCCTTGTCTACTACAGTAAGTTCCAAGACAGGCTCCTAAGTGACAGAGAAACCCTGATTGAAAAAAAAAGTAAACAAAACCAAACCAAAACAAACAACCAAAAAAAAAAAAAAAAAAACCAAATGCCATCTGGCCTATTTATTCCACTCACCAGATTTTGGATATGTGACTATGAAGACATCATCATCTCTAATTTCCTGATTGTCGATGTTTTCCACTATGTTCATTTTAACTAAAGACCTTTCAAAGTTATAGCCTTTGAAGTTAGGTAAATGTTCATCTTTATTGTCCATAGTGATTTACCTAGAAAAAATTTATAAAATTTTCTTCATTATCATAGTATTTGCCAATAGTAAGTAATGCTTTTGAGGGGTCGACCTGTACCAATCACCACTGATATATCCTTTACATGTTAATATTTACTACAATATTCAATTATATATCCTAGATTATTTAAATTTACAAGAATCTTATGTTACTACATTTTTATTATCATTGTATAAAATATGAAGAAACAAACATAGCAGGGAGCAGGAAGTTAGTAAGATTTTTCTATAATTCTAGATGGAAAAGATGATCTTAATTCTAAACATACAGATGAGGAAATTAGGGTACAGAGAGTGCAACCAACTTATTCAAGGTTGTTCAGCTCATCAACTTACAAAGAAGACAGCAAACAATTGGGGCAGAGAGTACATGTTTGTAACTGAAGAGTTTATTTGGATAATAAATTTTTATTCCTTATTTAGGGGCTGTATTATTGAGGCCCATCTTTCTCTATTGTATGGCAGCCATAATTCTGAGCAATCTTCAGAGCACAATTTGTACCTGTCACACAGAAGGTGGCCACCTAGCCTTGTGAGACAATAAAACCTCATCCTAAACAAAGGGTTAGGATATGCTAATGTTACTCTGAGTCTTCTATGGTAATTTAGAAGGTTGCCCAGGGAAGAGGTGGTAATTCAGTCTATGTGAGAAAACATCCATAGTTGCAGATGTGACCTAACTCATTCTCCCCTGCTGCCCATGAGACAGATTGCTAATCAACTTCCCCCACAGTTTTCCTTTTGATATGAATGTTGTTTGAATAATAAACAAGGGTGATCTTGAGGAATTGAATGAACCCTGAGACTCCCTCCTGATATTGCCATGTGAATTGTTTATTTATTCCCATGCCTCCGCTCTGGTTCAAGAAATAATTTATGTTCAGGCTGGACTCTGACATAGAGGTATCCAATGTGGGACTGATTGTGGAACCCTAAAAATCACTGAAGAAATAACTAGACATATGGAGGTGTACATGAGTATTCCATGAGAAAATTTCACCACAGGTAATGAGTGAGCAATGAGCACTCAGAAATAAAGAAAAGAATTTAAAGAAACATAGAATAAAGCAAAACAATAAAATTGGGAGTAAAAACTTTGTAAATATATTGAACTATAGGGGAAGGAAGAAGTTATCAAATAGCTGTATAGTTAATTGGAGCTATATTAAAGGATAGAAAAGCAAGAGTACAGCAACATCAGGCACAATAATTTTTAGAATTTATAGAGCAGCTAGTCCCTTGGTTTTCTGGGTGCAGGACATTAGATGGAGCAACATAGACAGATGTTGGAATAAAGATGTAACAATATTATTGTAATTATGGACCAGAAAGCTTCCTTGTAGATTCACTTCTTTTCTGGATCCTAATACAGGAAAGGTTTGACTGAAATCCCATACAATGGGAGATACTTCCCTCTGAGTCAGTTAGAAGGTAGACAATACCTTCTGCACCACCATTGGAGTTGCAAGATGCTGTTACAGAACTGAGTGTTTACAATAAGTCAGAGCCTAATGAATTAGAGAACTATGAAGAGGAATCTTCATCTCTCTTATTAATAACCAGCAATGCTGAAAGACAGGGAAATGATAATGAGGCTCAGAAGGAGCTAAAAGGCTTGACAAAGTTTGTAACCTCACTATAGTGGAAACTAGAAACTCTGCGGAGCCAGGACTCTTATCAGAAGAGTAATTCCCTTCCGAGCATATAACTGGTTTGGATTCACCTAGGGTACAAAGAGCGCTGAATGTTAGGCAAATGCCTTACAATAGTAATGAATCTCCTTTATAAGCTTGTATCAGAGAAGCTGCTAACAAAGGGAAAGAGATGCAAAGATTTTAATTGTTTTCAATAAACAAAGAGATGCTCAAGGAAATTTTCTTAGGATACTTACTCCCATTTAAGTTACTCATCATTTAAGTTACTCAAAGAACTAAAAACAGACTATCTCGGTATCCAATGGCCCCATTTACCTAGACGCTATTAGAAAATATAGCAATAGACACTCTGACGCCAGGGGATTGGAAGCATATAGCCAAAGCTTGCCTGTCAGGAGAAGACTATCTATTGTTGAAAACCAAATTTGCAGAACAGTGTCAGGCCACAGCTGAGAGAAATAGAGCTCAGCAGATTCCTATTTCCTATTAAATGCTTGCAAGTGAGAGACCTTATACAGGGGCAGATCAGGAGTTAGAATTTGATGTGGCAGCATATGTTCAAACTAGTGCAGCAGCCAAGAAGGCCTGGAATAGTCTTCCATTATGAGAAGAACAAATTCGGAAGTTGCCTAGTATAAGACAGGGACCAGATGAATTACGTCAGGACTTTGTTTCCAGAATAACACAGACATCCAATAGGTTGACTGAGGACATAGGAGCAGGCTTGATAATAAACAACTAGACTATATGAACACTATGCTATATGTAAGGTGACTCTAAGACCTTTTAGAAAGTAGGATATCATTACACATTATATCCAAATTTACACAGATATTGTCCAATTGTATACACAGGGGATGGCGATAGCTGATGCCTTGCAGAAAAAAAAAACAATTAATGTTATCCTATCGCAGCAGAGAGATCTAGGCCTAGGAAGAATGCAAGCTACAAGACTTCCTGGAAGCTGTCGTGGGTGTGGTCTTATGGGGCATCAGGAGAGACAACGTCCTGATAGGAGGTTAAGCATGAGGACAGAAAGAGAATCAGGATTATGCAGGAGATGCAGAGGAGGAAAACACTGGACTAGTGATTTCAGATCAAAAAGAGACAATCTAGGAAATCCTCTTTCAGGAAATGGATGCAGGGGCAAACCTTGGGACCTGAGAAAAAATTATAGGGCAATCCAAGAATCTGTTCCCCAAGAAGGAAATCCATTCAGGACCTTTTCAGAGTCACCCCAGAAAGCACAGGACTTCACCTCAGTTCTTCCTTATGCACGGTTCTGACACCTGAAGTTGGGGTGCAATCTCTCCCTACTGTTGTTTATGGGCCCTTATCAAAGGGTTCTGTTCTTGTCTTTGCAGGAAAATACACATCTTCAAATAAATCAGGAGACCCTCAACATCTAAATATCTAAAGAGAAAAAGATAATTTTCCAGAGAGGATTGCCAAGCAAAGAGAATTATGACTCATGAGTACAGGTCATCTGAGGGTAAGAACCTCTGAACATAAACAAGAATTATAGCCATGACTCACTTAAAAATCAAAGCAGGCCTTGGAGTTGGACAACGGCTCTTTCTTTCTCTAAATCAAAGCATGTTGTTAAATGAAAAATTTAGAGTGTCTGTCTCATGTCAGGAGATGTCTGGTATGGGACATAAAGAAGAAAGAAAGTAGAAATTTATTACTATTCTTAGTAACTGTTTTGGTCTATATGATACCTTTCATTGAATATATGTCTGTATAAATAATATTTAAGTTTTCCACAATGAGAAAAGAGTTTCCCTGCAGTAATCTTTGAAGTTTCTAGGAAAAAGATTGGGCTCCGCAACAGTGACTCCACCTGGTTAATATAATGTCATGATGCTGATAGCACTACTATAAGTTCGTTTTCCTGGGGACCAACTGCAGAAATGGTGCACCTTCTCACAACGTTCTGGCCAGATTTTCAAATAAGAACCTCAGAAAAATCCTACCAAATACTCAGAGACTATTTCCAATTATATCAGACAGTAATCTTGAAATTTCACCACCATTTTACTTTCACAGGATCCCATAGAAAGAACATCACCCTCATGACACCTGGAAGTAATTTGAGAAGATGATATCCCCTCTTCCAACATAGTTTGTCCTCAGGGTTAGGGACATCAATTGGGGGTTGATAATAATTGATATTGGGTTGGGCCTGAGAGAAATTATGTAGGCTCAGGCATCTCTTTGAAAAAAAAAATAGGGGAATTGAATGGGATAATAGGTTATTGTGAGCTTACTCACACTAATAACCACAATGCATATTATTTATAGGCATTGTACATTGGCACAGATTCTTATTGACTGATACAAATTTAAATTATATTAAATATGTTCCTATTTTCATCTACAATATTTGTATTTCTAGGCAAAGACATTTTGTCATATTGTATGCATGCATGCTTCTACCTCTGCTTAAGACATTTTGCATATTGATACAATCTTAGGCTATATTTATGTTTCATATTTCAAAATACATTTCTACCTCTGATCAAGATATTTATACATTGTTTACATTTTGAGTCATTTGTTGCGCAGTCATTTGAGATTGTTTAATATTATAATATGAAGTCATAGTCTTTAAGATATATGGGTATTAAGAATTATAGGTCAATATTCATCCATGTTTGTCATATTTATAGTTAAAATTATCAGGTTCTCTGCATACATAGAGATTGTATTCTGAATAGATAGATAATCTCCAACCACTTCCATGAGCCATAAAATATGGCATTTAAATAACTTAGAATTTTGTTGACCTGAGGCAGCATCAATCTATTCCTGAGAGAATATTGAGCACTGAAGACACTCTATTGGATCTTGTTTTCTTCTTGGCAAAACTGGCCTTCGGGCAAGGAACTGCCCATGCAGCTATCACTGACAAAATGCATGGTGTCTGGGCAGGACAAGCAGAATGCAAGGAAAAAGACTGTTGATGTGGGAGAATTGTCTGTATTCTGTCAATCATATTTTAATAAAACGCTGATTGGCCAGGCAGGCAGTATAGGTGGGAAAGCCAGACAGGAAGTAGGGGTGGAGCAAAGAGACTGGGAGTATTCTGGAAGCAGAAGCTCTCCTGCCATTCCTGTGCAGACCCCCGAAGAGACAGCATGTAACTTGCCCAGCTGAGAAAGGTACGGAGCCATGTGCTAACATAGATAAGGATAATGGGGTAACATAAGTTATAAGAGTTAACAAGAAGCCTGACCTAATGGGCCAATCAGCTTTATAACTTATAGAGATCTCTGTGTGATTGATTTTCTCTGGGACTTGCCAGCTGTGAAGTACTGGG